TGAGCTTAGCTACACCTCTTCAGGCTGATGGCCAGCATAGTGGACCTGGTTTCCCTTTGCCACCTATACATTAGACCACTACAAATATATCTACTAGTGCTCCTCCGCCTCAAGTGGGACCCAAGCAATCTACCTGTTCCCATTACAGACCTCATCCGCCTCTACCTCCAGTGGTGGCTGACGAGAAGACACCTCTTCCAGGGGATCACCTTCCCATGGGCAAACCTAGAGGTAACAATAACTACAGACGCATCCCATGGATGGAGAGCCTCTCTACCCCAGCTCTAGGCATCAGGAACTTGGGAGCAGTGTGGCAGTGTTCTAGAACTCTAGTTGGCATTCAGCGCACTGTGATGTGTTTGCTTGAGCATCAAGGGCAAATGTTTCTTGCCGGCATGCATCATTTCCTCGGATAACCTGATTTCCGTATTTTTCACTTTACACTTACATGTATGCCACAAAAATTGAAAAACACTGTACAAAGTCTTGTATAAATTTGAATTTCCTCGTTTTTTGTCAAAGTCCAAGTTGCACGCCTGGTCTGATATGCTCGGACAACTCCACAGTAATGTCCTGTATAAACCGTCAGGGAAGCACTCATTCTCCTTGACTTTGCCTCCTGACCAGACAGCTGTTCCTGTGGATGCAAGACCAATGTATCAAACTCTGAGTGACCCACATCCCAGGAGTTGACAACTCGATTTCAGATGCCTTCTCTCAGGGAAAGATACAACAAGCGGAGTGGACACTGCACCACGGCATGGTGGAACAGATCTTTGCAGTCGAAAAACAAAACATCAACCTTTTTGCATCAGTGGGGAAAGCTCAGCTACTGGTGTTCTGCACCAGATTTCATTACCCACAGGCTTGGGCAGCAAATGCTGGTCTACATTTTTTCGCTGATACTCCTACATGTAATCCCGACAGTGCCCTCCAAAATCAAGCAGGAGCTTTGCTGAGTACTTCTCGTCGTCTCGTTCTGACCACGCCAACTTTGGTTCCCTCGCCTAACCATACTGCTTGTTCAGACACCACTCATCCTGCCCCTCAGGCCGGACCTCCTCTATCAGCTGAAGTCGGGCAAAATCTACTTTCAACCAGCGTCCCTACACCTGACTCACTGGCCACTGTCAAACGATCGTTCCAATCAGTAGGACTTTCTGACTAAGCTGATCAATGCGAATCCACATGCAGCATCTACAGCAGAATACAACATTGCGGTGGCTGATTTCTTCATGTACCTATTTAAATCAGGCCTACAAGTGGTGATCGTCTGTAACTACTGGTCTGCCATTGCAGCTATTCATGAAGGCTTTCCTGATAATTCAACTCTATCAGACAATGACAATTCCAAGGAATCTTTGTGGAGCATACCCTTATGAAACAATTGGTTCCTTCCTGGGACTTTTAACAGCCATTTTCCAGCTCCATTCATCCCCCTCAGTGAGTCCTCATTACCACACATATCAGTGAAGTTGGCCTTCCTACTGGCATTTACCAATTCACACTGGGGCAGCGAACTGAAATCACTATCTCCATCATTGATGGCCACATCAGATGGGAACCCTACAGCGTATGCGCCGATCCAGCCCTGGGTTTCCTCACCAAAAATCCAGTCAGCTTCCTTTCACCCTCCTGATATATTTGTTCCCGACATAACCAAATATGCTAGAAATTCAGATGAGAAGCTATGGTGTCAAGTAAGAACTCTCAAATGGTAGGCCCCTACTTGGGTAGAACCAGGAAGCTGAGCCACTGATGTCCTGCTCCCATGGTACGACGGTCCTGACATCAGCCACATTGATGCCAAGGGGCTCCTCATTGGGACTGACCAGGACTGGATCTACATAACAACTCTTTTGTCTGCTGAGTCTTCGTTGTAGCTCCTTTCCTCTTACAATTTCTAACCACACACTTCTCTTCTTTATGCAGTGCGCCCTCACTCTACCGACCTCTAGGGAACGGTGCTACTCTGTATAGACCTTTTTCAACCACGTGACTGTTTGTAAACAATACCGCCATGCATGGACTGCCTTGGCCACTCTGATTGCATATATTTCTACAGGCAGTTTCAACCACATGCAAGCGCACATGCGAATGGCACATGCTTGACTAGTTTATGTTGAATAGGTAGATTACCATCACAATACTATGCACTCATTACCATCACAACACATCATAGGTCCAGCAGGAAAAAAAGGTCTATATATAGTGACTGTGTTGGTAGGATGAAAGCACTGAACTCCTCTTGAACTCCTATTGAAATTAAAATCTCCCTGAAGCCAAATCCATCTTGAAGTAATTTGCAGTACCCACTTCTACATATGACTACATACTGTATGATCAGCCAGCCCATCCCAGTAAAGCTTGGTGGTTAGGTGGAGAGATGTCTGCAGTAGTAAGCAGAAATTCATGGGTTCAAGTCCCACCCAAGTAAAGCTTGTGAATTTTTTGCCAGCTTTTGGACAAGCACTGAGTATACAGGAAACAGGGGACTGCAGTAATAGCCAGGGAATCTCACTACTTGATGTGATTGGCAAAATATTCTTCTGAATCACGCTTTCTAGCCTTTGAAACATTTTGTAGACTCCATTCTCCCTCAGACACAGTGCAGATTCAGGGCCGATCAAAGCACCATGGATATGGTGTTTGTGGCCAGTCTCCTTAGTGTGAAGCCAGTCAGCTTTACATTCATCGATCTTGTGAAAACTTTTGACAGTAGTCATTAGAGACCTCCTCTGGAGCATAATGACAAGATTCGACTGACCCCCAAAATTCCCAGCTCTCCTCCAGCAGTTCCATGTTGAAACGACTGCTTGCATGACCTCTAATACCTGGCCCAGTTCTATGTAATATCTACATGTATCTTGTGGTGGTCACACTCACCTCAAGAAGATTCCTGACCCTGAAGATGGAATTCCAATCGGATACTATCTTGATGGTGGTCTGTTCAGTCTCCGCTGACTAAAGTCCCACACCAACGTCAGCTCCACTTGAAATTACAGTGTGTAGATGATGTTGCTGCATGATGTTCTTGGGCACAACACCTGACCACTGGGGCCTTCCACTACAACCCTCATGGATTGAACGTTTCAACTTGGTAACGATGTGTTACGGACATGTAACACCTCATTCACTCAATTGGGCAGCATTATCTCCAACACCTGCCAACTCGACGACAAAATTATTCATCAGGTCAGTTGTGCCTCCAGTGCTTTCGTACACTTCAGGGACTGTGTCTTCATTTACTGGGACCTGCTGATCCTGGAAACAAAAGTAGCCGTATACAAAGCCATCTGTATGTCAACTCTCCTCTCTGGCTGCGAGGCCTGGACTATCTACCGGTACCATTGCCAAGCTGCAAGCTAGAGAAGTTTTACATTAAATGTCTCCAGAGATTGCATCCCACACGTTGACATCCTTCATCTTGTTGGCTGCTTGAGCATTGGATGTATGCTTCTTCGACATCAGGTTTGCTTGTTTGGCCACATGATCGGAATGCGGTGATGCCAACCCATCTGATATTGCCGTAAGGCTTCAGATTGAAGGTCAGCCTTAGGACTACCTTTGAAATCCTTCCAGATTTTAGAGCAAACTGTTATTTAAAAACATTACATGAATATTTGTGTTGGTTTTTATGTTGCCTGTCTTGGCAGTGATATTATTTAAAGCCAATTTTGAGACGGGAATAATTGTCGTAGCTTGTGTCGTATTTCTTACCCATTGAAACTGACCAACCTTTATGCCTGCATCCCATCCCACCAAACCAGCCATAATACAACCAAGGGTCCAACTCGTTTGTATTATGTTCATGTGTTCCTTAAATATTGCTTTGGAACGAGGTTGACCCATTATGCCACTTTTGATGCCAAAGTAGTCAGTTACAGTCCATGCTAAATTAAATCAGCTTCTTTAGTTTTAGTTCAGTAATTTGACCATTGGCGATGTTCAATTTAATATCCAAAGCTTCATAAGACACTTGAAAAATTGCCCATTTTTATGGGGATTCAGCTGAGCGTGACAGCCAGTGGAATTCTAAACTGGTACACAGGTACTTCACAAAGTAAGTCAAGTGTATGCACCGTGCTGGATACGAGTACTTGTTGTGCAGCACGGTACGGTGATCAGCAAGTATGCAAAGGAGAAAGACGTGTGAAATTGAAACTGGTGAAATTTAATCTGCTTAGCCACAACACATGTTGATAAAGAATTAACAGCAATATCGCCACAATCTTGGACTTCTTAGAATACGTGTAGTTTGGCTTTGTAAGTTTGTCATTATTTTTTGGTAGAGTCGAAGGGAACATTTCTTTATACCAAGCATGTGTGTAAGATCACATACCAGTACAGGCTACACTGTAATCGTTCATACCAAAATACAGTAAGATAAAGTTTCATTTTTTGGGGAGACCTTACAGATTTCTCACCCTCAATGTTTGCATCTCTGCCAATGGAGGACAACCCTCTCCCCAAGCAACTTCTCTACAGGGAGGTATGGGAAGGCACACAACATCTGGGAGGACCAAAAATAAAACGATACCATAATCACATCAGGACAGCCCTCTAAAGCTTCTGGATCCTACCAGCATATTTGGAGGCTGCTGACTGCACTGCTTAGAGGCAGGCATTTCTTTGTGGGACCAAGTACTTTGAGGCTAAGTGGATGGAGACAATAGAGGGGGAGAAGAAAGGAGTGGCAGTAGCAAGCGCAATTTCAACATTCAATTTGCCAATTTCAGAAAAAACTCATCATTTTCACTGTTTCATTTGGCACTTTCACCATTATTTCGGCAATTTCACCATTTCATTCAGCATGTTCACCGTTACATTTGACAATTTAACCATTCTATTCTGCAATATGACCTTTACAGTCAGCAACTCTACTGTCCTCTAAGGCAGTATGGTTTGATTCGGTTGTACACCATTCAATTTTTTAAATTCACTATTCGATTCTGTAATTTCACTATCCAATGCAGCGATTTCGCCATTTTGTTTTTCAGTCTCATATTCTGTTCTTCAAATTTGTGGATGCCAATGGAGTCACCTCCCTGTCCTGTTCCATTCAGCAAAACTTATTTTAACAGGTGAATTTCCCCCATTCACATGTTTGCATGGATTAAAAATGAAGGTTTGTTCCAAGCAATCTTGAAAGCATTCACAAACAAAAAAGTTGGGAAATCCTTTGGGTGTGTTGAAATGTCACTTTTAATTTCATTTTTCTAGCAACTGCAAAATCAGATGATGACTCTCTTTCGATTAGGCCAACGCCACAGTAACCCTTGTCATGGTTGTACGTTTTTTATCATTAAATAATTGCCACACTTGCTCATTCCAAATACGTCAAGCCGAAGGGCAAATTTCATTTGATTGGACATGAAGATGGAACAACGTTGATGCCATGCTTTGCAGCTGCCGTGTAGCATGACAGAGACTGTCGTGTAGCACGGCAGGGTTGTAGTCAAAGCTTTGCATCATACGTCATGCTTCTGCTTCAATTAATTGAAAATTTTCAAAGTATTTGAGTTCGACATGGCAGAAGCATGTATCAAACAAACACAGAACTTCTGTCGTGGCCTGCTTCTGCTAATAGATTACCTGCTGGGTAACATTCCAGAATATAATTTGCTCTGTTTCTGCACAGTTGCACAGTTCTATAAGTTTTCTCCTCAGGGTACGGAGCTGATATAAAAGAAGGTGCCATCATCTATATCAACTTGTTTGTGTGATGAGTAGACTTCATTGCCACTGTAGTTTATGATGTAAGCTGTACATTCAGTCCCAGGCCAATGTTTGTCAGTAGTGATAAAGTACAATGGAAGACTGTCATGGAAACAGTACGTGCCGAAAAAGCCCACAAAATGGGGAATCAAATGGTGGTTCCTCTGTGATGCTGCAAGTGGCTATTGCTTGGCATTTCGCATGTACACAGAATGGGAGGGGGGAACACTGAACATGTACATCAACTAGGACTGACATACAGTGTAATAATGGAGCTGTGGCACAGTATCTCATGCGATACCACCATTTGTATGCAGATAACTTTTTGCATCATTATCTCTTGTCGAAGACCTGTATCAAACAGACATATACTACTGTGGCATTCTACAAAAGGACAGAATTGGTGTACCAAAGGAGATTCTGAATGTGAACCTGAAAAAGTACGAAAGTGCAACATGGCAGAAGGAAGGCTCCCAAATAACCGTGACAAACTAGAAGGACAAACGAACTGTTCTTGTCATCGCTACAAATAACGACGGTCAGAATTTCTGGAAGCCGCAAACAAAGTTCTGTAAAGACGAGATCATCAGCATTCCATCAGTTGTTGCCAGCTACAATTCAAATATGAGTGGAGTAGACCACAGCGACCAGTACCGGGCTTATTATACAGTCGGTCGTACAGGCAAGCACTGGTGAAAATACCTCTTCTGGGGACTGTTGAACCAGGCACTTGTGAATGCCTGCATTCTGTGGGAGTTATAAACCAGACCTCACAACAAGCAGAGGTGTGTGTGGTCGCTGAAGGCCGTCAAGTTGGCAATAGTCCACCAGTTGGTTGATGGCTACATGTCACATAAGAGAACATCAGTTGGACTCAACTTGAAACAACCCATCACAATGGTTATTGCCAAAAATGCATTCCCTGGCCACTGTCTTGTGCAGTTTGGAGACAGAAAACACATGTGTATGCTGTAAGCAACAGAGGAGAACAACAGAAGGTGGCCATGCAGTGCAGACAATGTTTGGCTGTTCAAAATGCATGGTGAACTTGTGCTGCATCCACTGTTTTAGGGAGTGGCATGCTGAACAGTAATGAATGAATCATTAGGCTCCTGAACAGTGTACATGTACATGTATAATTGAGGCATCCAAAGGCCTGAATGTATCCAGATGACAGAATGACTTGGCCAACAATAATATGTTAAAGGTATATCCATTATCAGATTTATTTTACATGTTTCTCAATAATTTGTACATGCATGCACTGGTAGCAGAATGCCAAAATATCACATTTCTATCATTTTTACCTGCCACATGACAGGTCATAGTGTAATAACATAAAGTCATTTTCTTTGGCATATGCATGTTCATACACATGAATCAGCTTACTGAAACTAAACAACCATTCATAAAACTACATATAAATGTGTGCAATGGTTTGTGTATTCCTTGTCATATTTTGCACAGGTCAAAGGTCAAACTACAAGAGGTAAAACAAATTCCATAGGTGTGACTTGACAGAAATGAATTCTTTAGATACATGAACTTATTTATTTGTAAAAAACACCATGAAAAACCAGTTTTGGCTAATTTTGGCAAAATTGATAACTTGATCAAAGTAAAGAATGTGTGCATTTGCTAATGGGTTAAAGCCATATCACCCTGTGGAAACTTACTTAAATACGAACTTTAAGGCGTCTCTTGCCCCCTCGTCAGGTGCGAATGCTTGAATGTGTCCTTGAAGAACAATCTGACGCGTGTCGAATTCGGGAGACACCCGAAAGTTAGTATTTAAGTAAGTTCCCAATGGGTGATATAGCTTTAAGAGAAGTAAATAAGTTGTCAGAAGAATCCCTGTACAAGGTCAGAAACATCGTAGAGTGTATCGAACACAATATCCTCTGCTTTTTATAAGATGTGCTTGCTTCCTTGTGTTATGAAAAGGCCTCAAGTCATTGATTGTGTGTTTTCCAACAAAAGATTTGCTCAGATTAACCACTTCCAGCCGGAGGCATAGGCCTTATATTTGTGGCCGGGGTCTCCGAAATCGGAACTTTACTAAAACAAAAAAAGTTGCTGGGTGTTTCTTAAAAAGTTTAGTGCTGTCAGTTAAAAAGTTTAGGCCATCATTTAAGGTAAATAAATTGGTCTTAGGCAATAATGGGTTGCTGGGGCCGGAGAATTGGGACTTTATTTTATTGGCGGGGGGACCAAACTTATAAAAGCCTGTAATAAAATTACGAGCTGCTGAGAGCTGCTGGGCACTGCCAATCAATCCCCGTATTCTTTCAGTGCAGAGCGCTGACAGTAGCGGAGGTGATCCGTGTATTGTTTGTGCAGAGCGCTATTGTTTGCGCTGCCAGGCGCTCGTAGTGGATTATCGCTGCACAGAAGACAAGCGCGGGCTGTGCGGGCTCATTATGCACCTGTGCCCCATGAATGACCCGGCCCAGGCGCTGCTGGCCCTTGCCACGTTGACTGACAGGGCTTGGCCCTCGCTGCTTGAGAATAAAATCGCCATGCAGTGCATACATGTGTTCATATTGGGTATCGTGTTATCAGAGCACAGACAACATGGCTGAAGTTATATCTGGAGAGTCCAGTTCTTCCAGTGAAAGCGAGTTTTATCTGAGTTCAGACGAAGGTTCTTCATCTTCTTCATCATCGCTGTCACCTGCTCAAGTACAGACACTCATTTTATGGGGTTGAGGCATTCAGAAAAAAAAATATGAATTTTTGAAGATTTTTTAAAAAAGAAAATATGAAAAAATGGCCCGGCAGAGCATATAATGGTTAAAAAAAGCACCTGGCAGCAAGTGGTTAATCTGTGATAATTCCATGGAACTGAAGCATTGAACTCCCTTTTAGGACTCTCTGGTTTCTTAAAAGTTACATTTTCACATCGACTGAGACACAAAGTCAACTGATTACACCCAGAAGCAAGTTTTTGTATGGAGAACTTTCTTAAAAGCTCTGAATATGCAAGGATGCTTGGATAATCTATTATCCAAAGTGCTGGTCTCTGAGCCCTTTTAATGTTTGTGGATTGAGCCATGGTTGTAGATGAGGACCAAACAGTTGTTCCAAACTCAAGAAATGGATACATGTACATCTTATAATTCAACAATAAATCATCAACACTGGCACCATTCTTTCTTAATCAACTTAGAGTATACAAACGTCTAGATCCATTTGCAATAATTCGCTTAACCTGCCTGTCTCATTGTAGATTATTTTGAACACTAATGCCAAGTAGCTTAATTGATGAAACCACCTCAAGCTGACTGTCATTATTGACCAGGTTAAGTGGAGGTTGTGGATTATGAGTAAAGGAAATCTGCATAACTTTACACTTGGTTGAATTTAATTTCATGTCATTATCCTGACATCAATTTACTACCTAGTCCAGGTAAGTTTGAAACTTCGTCCTTTGTACGAACCTCGAGTACAGTTAATTCAACATATTTCCAACGGTTTGGTATAGAACAGGCCAAATTATTAACTGTAGCAAGAAACAAAATAGGTTCCCAACTTGCTGTCCTGTGGTTCTCCACAAATAATAAGATCCATCTCACCTGACAGTACATTGTTAAATCTAATAATTTGTTTTTGCGATATACATGTACCTAAAAGCTACGTATTGTTGGCAAAATAGCCCGATCAACATCCAACTGTATTAATTTCTCTATGACAAGCATGTGATTTATTCAGTCAAAGGCCTTACTTAAGTCAATAGTACATAAGGCAGCACAATTGCCAGATTTATCCAGACCTTGGTGAATAGTATCAAGCATACATGTACTAATCAAGTAGTGCTCCCTTTCAATAGAACACCCTTTCATACCTCCAGACTGTCGTGGATCAATGGACCCTTTGAGATCGTCCATGCCCCTTTCACACAGAAAACCTTCAAAGAGTCTAGCTAAGACCGGTGTAACCGAAATAGGGCATAGCTGATCAAAATCATTACATGGAGTGGTTTTGGGTGTGGCACACACTGAAGCCCATTTCCAAATTCAAGGAAAACAGTCCACCTCAAGACACGCATTAAAAATATGCGTTAACGAAATTGGCAATTCATACGCAAATTCCTTTGAAAGCCTGGTCGGACAGTCTCCAGGGTAGTCGGCTTTTGATGAGTTTAACCTACATAGTCTTTTGTAAATTGTTTCACGAGTAACTTGTCGAGAAAAAGATACAGCTGGTAAATATGGTGTCAATTCACACGGATTAAGAGGTGGCAGGCTTGAAACAAATTCCAACAGAATAAGCATTAAGGTCATTTGTCATTTCCATTTATGATTTGTTAACATTCACTACTCCAGGGAGTTTTTACGATTTCCAATAAGAAATTGAATTTGCTTGCACCATTTACCAAGATCAAACTTTTTCAAGAACTCAACTTTCTGTTTATAGTAACCACATTTTGCAACCTGAATCATTCTCTGAACTTCAATACGTAGTGGCCTTTTATTACCACCTTGCTTTAATACAGTATCATGTTTGAGTATGAGTTTCCAAATCCTATTCATCCATGGTTGGTCGTTGGTTCAACACTTCACCGTGACCAGTTCAAAGAACTTTTTATGTTTATCAGGGTTATCGGGGTTTCAAAGGCTACACAAGGTACCCCAATCAACATTGGTAGCCCATTGGCCGAAAGCCTGAATTGATGAATCACGGAAGGTCCAATATTAATATTGGGTCAATTTCCTAACATCGATGACCCAGTGAGGCATGTTATGAGTTATCACTGGATGAAATAGGTGCAGAAATAATAGGTTCGGAATAATATTCTTCGAGATGTGTCAAAATCCTATCCAAAATTGCATCACCTCTAGATGGTCTTTTAACAACCTGAAAGAGTGACGTAGCTTGCTGTAAGAAATTGGTATCAGGGTCATTAAAATCTCCCATGATGAGAAAGGCTGGGTTCTGTTTTGTTGTCCAAACAATATCAATAACAGATGTACATGTAATGTGATCAATGAGATCCGATCTATACTGAGAATGCGGTGGTGAATATAAGGCACATAAAAACAATTCTATAAATAATCGAATCGTACAAGAAGGTTTCAAATGAACCCATAACACTTCGAGATGTCTGGTGTAAGATCACTGAAAACGACATTACTACAAATATCATTCCGGACATACAATGCTATGCCACCACCAGTTCGATCCATCTGATCCCAATATTGATGAAAAGCAGAAATTTGACACCTACTAGCCGGGTTAGCAGGTGAAAACCACATTTCTGCGACTGCAGTGAGGTGGATATTGTTGTACTGGCTATCCAGGGCAGCCTGAAGTTCACCAAACTTACTGGCCAGTGATCATGAGTTAAACAACATAACTGCAGGTAGGGCTGGTTGAACCTGCAGCAATTAAGTGGTTAATCAAGGCTAAATGTATGTGAACATAAACTAAGGCTGCACAGGTGGAAATGTATTCATACAAAGTGGCTTCCTCTTTGTGTGTGTCTTCACTGTTGGCTGGAAAAGATTTTATTGATTTGAAATGTGTTGCTAAAATATGCAAATTCCTTTGCATCTTATTTTATTTGCTAAAACTTGATCAGCTGTAGTGAGGGAAGGAATTTCATCGGGGAAGGCCACTTGGCCAGTGATGAGGGCACTAAACTCAAAACACAAGGCCTATAAAAAAGTAGAGTTTAAGATTCTAGCAGCCATTCACTTTTGTGACTGCATGAAATTTACCAGGAAATTCCATCTTCCACTTTCCTCTATCAATTTATATGATCCTTACAGGCATTGTTGATCGATCACAGTGCTCTGTGGACTGATGACATGTATTATTGACAACTGAATTACAAAAATCTGAGCCCTGACAGAGTGAAACTGCTGTGTCGCATTACGTTGTGTTTAAGGTTGAGCAATGCAATCTATGCTCATAAAACAGTGAAGTACTCAAATGTTTTCTTGAGTACAAGGGTCGAGTATTGAGTACCTAAGGGTAAAGTACTGCCAAAATCCAAGTACAAAGAATGGAGTACGGGTCATGTACAATGAATTTTCAAGTACTGATAATCAAGTACCGGGTGAGTACTCTGGTGTACTCAAGTTGTACAATATTCATGACAGATAATTTTGTACATTTATTGGTTGCTGAAAACTGATCCACAAACCCTGTTTTTCTTCTTTTTAATTGGCCCATCCTAGAGTGAATTGGAAAGTGACTGCTGTACTGTTTTTTTCTGTCACAGACAATGAAGGTGTTAGGAGAACCACCTTAAGGGAACTGAAGGTGCTACGGCAGCTCAAGCAAGAAAACATTGTGGAACTTAGGTAAAGAAGTTTTTCTCTGTCAGTTTTAATTTTTTCAGGTTTTAAGTACAGTGCAGTTACATGTGGTTTAAGAATATATATTTGCATATTTTGTGAAATTTTTACAAAGCTATTCAAAGTTTGGTTATTAACTAAGTCACTTTTATTCTTTTAAAGCTTAAAGCATCACTCCTAAAATGGACTTGTTTGTATGGTAGTAATTGCATAATTTGCATGTGCATTATTAAGGGAATAATTACGTGAATGTACTTTGCTGGTCTTAATCACTTGCTGCCAGGTGCTTTTAAAAATGCAGTTCCTATATACGGGCGATTTTTGAATATTTTTGATTTTCAAAAATCTTCAAAAATTCTGATCTTTTTTCCTAAAGCCTAAACCCCCATCGAGTGACTGTCTGGCTACTCTAATCTGACAGACAACATCTATTGATGCCCGACAGGGCTCGAAATTAATGGGTGTGTAGCCT